GCTCCTGGTCTTATTTTTGCTGATTGTATAGAACTTCTCCATCTAAGGCTGCAAAGAATATAATCAGTCTTACTTCAGTATTGATCATCTGGTGATGTTCATGATCTGAGCCACAGTCCACTCCCAGTCTTGTTTTTGCTGATTGTATAGAGCTTCTCCATCTTTGGCTGCAAAGGATATAATCAATCTGATTTTGGTGTTGACCATCTGGTGATGCCCATGTGTAGAGTCTTCTCTTGTGTTGTTGGAAGAGGGTGTTTGCTATGACCAGTGCCTTCTCTTGGCAAAACTCTGTTAGCCTTTGCCCTGCTTCATTCTGTACTCCAAGGCCAAATTTTCCTGTTACTCCAGGTGTTTCTTGACTTCCTACTTTTGCATTCCAGTCCCATATAATGAAAAGGACATCTTTTTGGGGTGTTAGTTCTAGAAGATCTTGTAGGTCTTCATAGAACCGTTCAACTTCAGCTTCTTCAGCATTACTTATCAGGGCATAGGCTTGGATTACCATGATATTGAATGGTTTGCCTTGGAATCGAACAGAGATCATTCTGTCATTTTTGAGATTGCATCCAAGTACTGCATTTCGGACTCTTTTGTTGACTATGATGGCTACTCCATTTCTTCTAAGGGATTCCTGCCCACAGTAGAAAAAAAAAAACCACTACCACCTAGTTGTGGATGGGACTGGTGATAGAAGCAAGATTCAATGCTGTAAAGAGCAATATTGCATAGTAACCTAGAATGTTAGGTCCATGAATCAAGGCAGATTGGAAGTGGTCAACAGGAGATGGCAAGAGTGGACATTGACATTCTAGGAATCAGTGAACTAAGATGGACTGGAACGGATGAATTTAACTCAAATAATTAAAATATTAATTATTAATTAATAAACACCTTCATAAAGTTTTACTTAGCTTCTGACCCATCCTCTTTTAGAGTCAAAGGCAGGAGACAGGCCTTTGAAACCCACAAAATATCTTACATTTTTCAAAGCAGGTTTTTCCATGAGGAAAATATATAATGATGATGAGTAATGGAATACCTGATCCTAAAGCCTGTCCACTCCTCACTTAACAGTTAAACACAGAGATTCAGAACCTCTATTTGTTAAGCTGCTACTTGTTAAGGTGGGTATAACCTTTCTAAGCAACATCCAGGAAGGAAAGAAGTGGCCACTCTTTTTCTCTAAACATACATGTGTTTTATTTTTTGGCTGTGCTGTGTCTTCATTCTTTGCTGCTACATGCGGACTTTCTCTAGCCATGGCGAACCAAGGCTCCTCTTTGTTTGGCGCGTGGGCTGCTCGCGGTGCTCCCGGAGCACCAGCCCTGGCTCTCGGCGCACAGGCTTCGGGAGTCGCAGCACGGGAGCCCAACAGCTGCGACGCGTGGGCTCAGCAGCCGTGGCGCATCAGCCCAGCGGCTCTGCAGAATGTGAGAGCCTCCGAGAGCAGGGACTGAACCTGCGTCCCCTACACTGGCAGGTCGATTCCCAACCCCTGGACCTCCAGGGCAGCCCAGGGTTGCCACTCTTGAATATGGAGTGCATTCTCCTTTGAGGCATCCAAAAGCAATTAGTTATGCTGGTGGCAGAGACTTCTCCTAGCTATCATTTGTTAAGTCCGGGTATCTAAATGAATTATGCTACAATTTGAGGCCATTTTCCTAAGTCTAGGACCCCAAAATTAGAATATGACTGAAGAACTCAGTATATGCAGCTTGTGTTTAAGTGCTGAGATGCCATGATCTCTTCTACACTAGTCACCAGAGAAATCATGTACCGTATTCTGTCATTATTATTAGCACCTCAGCTCATCACACCTGGGAATCTTGGAGCATCCCTTCCTCCCCGTCTCCCCTGGATGTCATATAGACTGCATCTCTGAGTCAGCGTTCAGAGTATTGCACAAAATTCAGTAAAGGTACAAGTAGAAGGATATGTTTGTCATCCACAAACCATTTTCCCACATAATATTTCTTATACATCCTCTATACTAACATTTAAGTACTTCTTTAAATTATTTCAATGTACTATTAAAAAATACTTTATGGACTGAGTTGAGAGATTCCCTGGTGGATTCAAAGGTGAAGAATCCAGGCTAAGTTGCGCACCTAAATTCCAAAACACATAATATCATTTCTCTTGGAAATGTCCTAAATACCGAGAACTCATTAATAGTCCAACGATTGTCACTACTACGAGCATCTTAAATACTTACCTAGTGTTGAAATAAACCTTCTGGCTTTCTTCAGAAAGCCTGAACCAGATATACTTGCCATATTGATACCATCCCAATTTGTAAGGAATTACCTGAAATTTGTTAACAGACTCTTTTCATCTTGGTCCCATCTCCCTTGTTCTAGACTCAGTTTTCCAGTTGCAAGGTAGGCATCTCAGTCCATGTGAGTATCTCAGGCTTAATGAGTACAGATCCAAATTTAGCATCCCCTGCCAAGGTCTTGGAGAAGGCAATGGCACCCCACTCCAGTGCTCTCGCCTGGAAAATCCCATGGATGGAGGAGCCTGGTAGGCTGCAGTCCATGGGGTCGCTATGAGTCGGACACGACTGAGCGACTTCACTTTCACTTTTCACTTTCATACATTGGAGGAGGAAATGGCAACCCACTCCAGTGTTCTTGCCTGGAGAATCCCAGGGATGGCAGAGCCTGGTGGGCTGCCGTCTATGGGGTCACACAGAGTCGGACACAACTGAAGCGACTTAGCAGCAGCAGCCAAGGTCTTATCCCTATCAAAACTAGTATCTGTTCTTGAAGGTGCTGTTGTGAATTCTGTCAGCACTCCCCCAGTGTTAATATGTGAATTAGCTCTTTACTACACCCTCTGTCTCACAGCTAGTCAGCCCTTAAGTTCTTTTTATTAAATTTTGTCAGGACTCTGGGGTTCATCTCCTTCTTTCTCTACCTACTGTCACTCTTCTACTTTCGGCTCATCAGATCTTACCTGACGTTTTGGAAACTACCTGTCTGAACACACCGCTTCAGAGCCCTTATCTTTTTCATAGCTGCCTGAGATTTCCTCCTAAGTCACTGGAAAAGTACTTTCCTTTTCAAAACTTTCAGTGACATCCCATTGTTTAAAGAATGAACCTCAAACCCTTTAACATAATCATCAAGTGCTGCCCTAACTTAGTTTCCAAATGACCAGCTGGCTTGTTCCCTCCCCGACCCCTTCGTGAACACTGGTCTTTCTGTGATATCTCTATTCCTTGAATATAGGGATTCTGAAATTTTCTTGCACCACGGGTTCCTTTGACAGTCTGGTGAAGTGTGTGGACCCCTTCCTAGAGTAATATTTTTCAGTGTATAAAATAATAAACATAAGATTACCATGGAAAGCCATGCTGCAGAAGTAAAATTCTATCTGTCTGTGGACCCTGTTGTTTATATCTTTGTGGCTTTACTTATGACCCTCTTAGCAAAGAAGTGGCCCTGAGCCTGCCCTTCTGATTATTGAAATCCATCTCACGTTTCAAAGTCTCTTCAATCCCCATCTCTGCAACTTTACCTTGACTCCCTGCCCGTCTGTACTCACCACTTTGTCCTCTGCCCTCTCATAGCAGATTATTTGTATTTCTAATTAGTTCTTATCTTTCCTTTGCCCTTTGTAATAATAGTTTGTATTAATTGACAAAAAGGAGCAGACACTAATGGGCTACTTTCACACATTTTGCGCTTGCTTGCTTGTAACTCTTTTTAAAGCACTGTGAAATTTGCATATAAAGAGGACACTGAAGTCCAGAAGTTCTGTTGTTTGACAAAGATTATACAGCTTGTTGCTGTTACAAATTTATTTCAGGAAAGGAATATTTGATTTTCTTCTTTACACCTTCTCAGGATCTAAGGAATGATATTGTTCAGTAGTGTTTGTTTATGTGGATTTAAAAATCAGAAGTGCTGGGAAATACTCATCTCCCAATATATAATGCCCCTAGTGTTGATGGGAAGAGGCAATGGTGCCCCACCCCAGTCCTCTTGCCTGGAAAATCCCATGGATGGAGGAGCCTGGTAGGCTGCAGTCCATGGGGTCGCTAAGAGTCGGACACGACTGAGCGACTTCACTTTCACTTTTCACTTTCATGCACTGGAGAAGGAAATGGCAGCCCACTCCAGTGTTCTTGCCTGGAGAATCCCAGGGCTGGGGGAGCCTGGTGGGCTGCCGTCTATGGGGTCGCACAGAGTCGGACATGACTGAAGCGACTCAGCAGCAGCAGCAGTGCTGATGAGGGGCCGTACTAGGAGAGAGATGTGTACGGAGGCGTTTCTAGGTCCATGCCTATGTCAAATTAACTGTGACTAATTCCTTCTTAGCAAACTGAAAACTCTTCTCGTCCCTAGTCGTTTCACAAAGTAAAATTTAAACAAGAGTTTTCAGCAGTCAATTCCTGATAATGTTATCCCTTGTTCTGCACTCCTGATGAAAAGACAATAATATTAAAAGTAGGACAAAGTAAAGAATTTGTTTGGAATCAAAATGAATTGAGGAAATATTTACATTTGTAATGACAAGATCAGTTGTATAACCTATTTCCTATGGTATCCCCTCAGTGAAGACAATAAACAATCCAATTTACATTTGTAAGAAAATACATTTTAAATATAATTCACTTGAACAAGTTGCATTTTTCTGTAGCCAAATGCATTCCTGCTAGTTTCTTAAAACAACATTATTAGTCTATTTTAAAATAAACCATTTATTTATTCAAATAGATTTATTTTAGAAATTAGTAATGCTTTCTTTTCAAAATGCTGTTTTGAGATTAAAAATCATGTATTTGTGATCAGTAATTTCTCATGTGGGAGTTCTTTATGTATAGTAATTATTTTTAAAGGAATTACATCTTTTGATTTGGCAATGCCTTTTAGTATGCTGTGAACTATAATTCATTATCACTATCTTTCTTATGGTCTTTTTTGTCATCATATTGTGGCAAATACTAGCTTAAATGTAGAAAGGTAATTGAATTTTTTCTATTTTCATAGCTCCAGATGGTCCTCCTGAAAATGTGCATGTAGTAGCAACATCACCTTTTAGCATCAACATCAGCTGGAGTGAACCTGCTGTCATTACTGGACCAACCTTCTATTTGATAGACGTCAAATCAGTAAGGCCTGTCTTATCTTCTGTGAAAGGTAGTATAGAGCATGGTTAGGAATACAGGCTTTGCAACCAGACTGAATTTTAATCTTAGCTCTATAGACCTTCGGCAGCTTCCTTTACTTGTTTGTGTTTCAGTGTCCACATCTGTGAAATAAAGCTAGATAATACTGCCCAGGGTACAGCGTTTTTGTGAGGACTAAGTTAGTCAACATACATAAAGAGCTTAAAACATTGCCTGATACCTACTAAATATTCAAGAAGTGCAAACAAAATATTGTCATCATGGTTATTGTTATTTATCTTCAGGGTATAGATGATATAGATAAAAGAGTTTAAGTTGAGTTTAGGTTGACAGTAATATATTGGTTTAAGATACAGTTGGAAAGAACTTACAAAAGAATGGCCAAGGCATTAGGAGTCATACCTCCAAAATAAGACAATATCAGGGCCTAACTTTGAAAATGATTGAAGCAGAACGTGAAAGGTAGTGCAGATAAAAGTGTAAAAAGTTAGCTTTGTTCAAGAAAAAGCAAGTAGTTTAAGCAGTGGAACATTCGAAAAGAAAAGGCTGAGAGATGAGGCCCGATTGGGAGGCCGACTTGTGGAGTGTGGGTCATGCTAAGTTCAGTGGGGTGCCAACTGTGGAAATAGAGCAGTATTGGGATACAGATTTCTATTTTACAGAATCAGTATGATCATGTTGTAAAGCATAGTTTTAGACCAGTACTGAGGGTACAAAATTAAAGGAGGCAGGAAACCATAAGAGTAAAACTGGGCAAGAAAAGATGAGGAAATGGAGTGAGGGTAACAGAATAAAAAAAATAAAATTTAAATCTACAGGATCTGGAGGAAAAAAACCCGTGGATGGTGAGTGAAAATAAACATCAAGGATGACTTTTTGAGATACACGTTTTGGAAACTTGTGAGGAGGAACAGATTTGTAGAGGAAAGGCATGGATTCAGAACTAGATGTACTAAGATGCCTGGGAGTCCCCAGGTGAGGATAGCCCATTAGCAGTATCATTCATGGATTGTAGTTCAGGAGAGGAGGTTTATATTTCCTGATTTGGGAAGCATTGGTGTTCAGATGATGGATGAAATAATATGAACAGATGAGATTAACTATGAAACATTTAGGGTAAGAAACTCCTCTGTAAGGACTAACCTGAAGATAGTGTCCTGGGAAATACAAACATTTGAGTAAAAGGCACCTGCAAACGCCGAATTGGACTAGCCATTCAGACAGTAGGAAACCCAAGCTTGAGAGTCAAGCCTTTTGTCTACAACAGGGTGCTGCGCAGTGTGAATAATGCAGAGTCGTTAGCTAGGGTTAGAACTGGAAATTTCTCCTGGCATCCTGCTTGGGTTTTACTGGAGCTGATGAGCAGTCCCTTCTGGTGGCGTTGAAGGCATTAAATTAGGTAATCCACGGTGAATTCTCCTCCCCCTCTTGCTGTATTTATTCATCTCTTAACTTTTATGATTTTTTTAAATGCCTTTATATTATTTCTTAAATGGAAATAATTCTATCTCAAAAGGCCTGTCATGATTAAAAGAAAAGTTAAAGGATTATTGGTACATTTTTTTTCTCCCAGTCAGTCTTCAGTTTATGATCTTCCTTTTTTAGAGCATATTTGTGAAGACTTTTAGTTCATAATCAGCCAAAAACAATCAACATGAATGACAAGTGCTCTGGGAATATCATTAAAAGCAAATTATAAAATGTTAACACTGTGCTCTATTAACTAGAAGATGCTTTATTAGGGAAAATAGCTCTCTTGTGGAGTTTGGTTGGGTTGAAAGGAGGGAAAAGTAAAACATTAAAAAAAGGTGATTTATCACCTAATTCTCTCAGTATTCTTACTGAGATTAAAAATGAGTAAGGGAAAGAGAGAAGGATGGAAAGATAACTATTGTAATTGCTGAGCTTGTTTCAGCTACGTATTAGCCTCTTCATATGCATTGTATTATTGTATCTTATCTAATAACCTTTTGATGTAAATATTACAATCTTACTTTTGTATATAGGAGAACTGAGGCACAGAGATGATAATAAAAAAAAAAAACAAAAAACAAACTTCTCAAACAGTTAAGACCTGGCTAAAACCAGCATAATGGTGTGATGGAAATAGAAAAAAACCATCAAAAAGCAAATAAAATTTGCCAGATTGAAATATGTGCTCATCAAAATATCTTTGGATTAAAGACAGCAAAAAATTAACAGATTCTAACACTTCACAGTTTCCCTAGGATTCTTGGAACTAAAGTGGTCTTCCCTTCATTCTTTCAACACAATTATAGCTTATTTTTAAAAATTTTGTCTTATATTGGCACATAGTTGATTAATAATGTTATGTTAGCTTCAGATGTACAGCCAAGTGATTCAGTTATCCATATACATGTACCTATTCTTTTTCAAATTATTTTCCCATTTAGGTTATTATAGAATATTGAACAGAGTTCCCTGTGCTATATAGTAGGCCCTTGTTGGTTATCTATTTTAAATATAGTAATGTGTACATGTCAATCTCAAACTCCCAATGCAACTTTAAATACATTCAAATGCCAGCATTGTGCTGGGTGCTGGGTGCTGGGTCAAACCCACATCTCTTCTGGCTCCTACACTGGCAGGCGGCTTCTTTACCACTAGTGCTTCCTGAGAAGCCCAGAAGTCATTGGCTCCCAGGCCAAGGAACATGTGTCCTTGAATTTAAGATTTATGCTGCACCTTGGCCTCTGCCAAATACTAGCCACAAGGGCATATAGCTCTTCCCCTACAAAACCTGAATCAAAAATTGACACTCTTTAATAAAGATACATGGGCTTCCCTGGTGGCTCAGATGGTAAAGGATCCACCTGTAACGCAGGAGACCTGGGTTCGATCCCTGGGTCAGGAAGATCCCCTGGAGGAGGGCATGGCCACCCACTCCAGTGCTCTTGCCTGGAGAATCCCCATGGACAGAGGAGCCTGGTGGGCTACAGTCCCTGGGGTTGCAAAGAGTTGGACAGGACTGAGTGACTAAGCCCAGCACAATAAAGATATATGGGCTCAGATATCACCCTGGATGATTCTACCAGGAATTGATGCATTTTCTGGCCTTTCGTTTGTTCTTTTTATTTTAAATTTATTATTTAATTGAAGGATAATTGCTTTACAGAATGTTGTTGTTTTCTGTCAAACCTCAGCATGAATCAGGCATAGGTGTACATATATCCCCTCCCTGCTGAACCTCCCACCTTCCTCCCCATCCCACCCCTCTCGGTTGAGTTTCCTGAGCCACATAGCAAATTCCCGTTGGCTGTGTATTTTTCACATGGTAATGCGATCTTCCATGTTCCTCTCTCCATATATCCCACCCTCTCCTTCTCCCCCATCCCCCTCCGCCGAGTCCAAAAGTCTGTTTTCTATGTCTGTGTCTCCATTGCTGCCCTGTAGATAATTTCATCAGTACTATCTTTCTAGATCCCATATATATGTGTTAGTATACAGTAATTATTTTTCTTTTTCTGATTTATTTCATTCTGTATAATAGGCTCTAGGTTCATCCACCTCATTAGAACTGACTCATATGAGTCCCTTTTTACGATGAGTAATATTCCATTGTGTATATGTATCACAGCTCCTTTCTCCATTCATCTGTCAGTGGGTTCTAGGTTGCCTCCATGTTTTAGCTATTGTAAATAGTGCTGTGATGAACATTGGGGTACATGTATCTTTTTCAATTTTGATTTCCTCAGGGTATATGCCTAGTAGTGGGACTGCTGGGTCATATGGTGGTTTTATTACTAGTCTTTTAAGGAATCTCCATACTGTCTTCCGTAATGACTATATCAATTTACATTCCCATCAACAGTGCAAGAGTGTTCCCTTTTCTCCACACACCCTCTCCAGCATTTATTGTTTGTAGACTTTTTGATGATGGCCATTCTGACCGGTGTGAGGTGATATCTCATTGTAGTTTTGATTTGCATTTCTCTAATAATGAGCAATAAAGGAGATTAGTCCTGGGTGTTCATTGGAAGGACTGATGCTGAAGCTGAAACTCCAGTACTTTGGCCACCTCATGCGAAGAGCTGACTCATTGGAAAAGACCCTGATGCTGGGAGGGATTGGGGGGCAGGAGGAGAAGGGGACGACAGAGGATGAGATGGCTGGATGGCATCACCGACTCGATGGACATGAGTTAGAGTAAACTTAGGGAGTTGGTGATGGACAGGGAGGCCTGGCGTGCTGCGATTCATGGGGTCGCAGAGTCGGACACAACTGAGCGACTGAACTGAACTGAATAACGAGTGATGTTGAGCATCTTTTCATGTATGTTAGCTATCTGTATGTCATCTTTGGAGAAATGTCTGTTTAGGCCTTTTCCCCACCTTTTGATTGATTGTTTTTCTGGTATTGACTCGTATGAGCTGTTTGTATATTTTGGAAATTAATCCTTTGTCAGTTTCATTTGCCATTATTTTCTCCCATTCTGAAAGTTGTCTTTTTATCCTTTTTATAGTTTCCTTTGTTGTCCAAAAGCTTGTAAGTATAATTAGGTTCCACTTGTTTATTTTTGTTTTTATTTCCATTACTCTAGGAGGTGGATCATAGAGGAGCTTGCTGTGATTTATGTCATAGAGTATTCTGCCTGTGTTTTTCTTTAAGAGTTTTATGTTCCTTTTATTTTTTAACTTACCAAATACTTAGTAGCTTCTTTTCACCAAGACAAAGATGGAAAACATAAAGTTCTGCTTCCAAGTAACTCACAGTCAGTAACACCAGAATATAGATAATTATAGAGTATGAGGTATCCAGTCTTTTTGGGATATAATGTTACAAAGTAATTAAAGTTTCTGTTATAGGGGACATAATACATAGAGGAGACTATACAGAGAAGGTTAAATTTAGTAGGCTTAGTGAAGACAGAAAATGAATTTTTGTACATGCTGTTTTTTGAGGGCACAGGATTCTTTTGGAATTTTACTATATATTTTATAAGATATGGTACATCACATGCATTTTATTTCCTACTTTACTAACTTCAATCTGTTACCCATTTTTTAATGAAGGCATTGGAATAATTTAATTTTACTTTATAAGATCAGGTCTCATGACCTTGTGGTAGTGTAGAGAGGTCTGAACTCTTCAAAGACCTGGGATCAAATCCTATCGCAGTTACCAAGTAGCTATGGAATCTTGAGAAATGCAGCTCAACTCTATAAAACCAGAGTTGAAATAGCTCTAGTAGCCAGTTAAGGAACATGAAGAGCAGTCAACATGAAGCTAAGTGGTGGGCAGTGATGAGTTGGAGACCCCTACCCCGTTATAAGAGTTACCCATCATTCATCTTTAGATCAGTGTTAGCCAGCATACGTTTAAGTCTAGTCTTAGGGGAAATTTTAAAAGCCTGATTTGTATGTGATATTTAAATGTTGACAACCAATTAAACACACACTTTCTACCAGAGGATACATGAACCTGATCAGTTGGATTCCTACGCTGATCTGTTTTTCTTCCCCCACTGCTCTCTCTCAAGATGGTTCGGTCTGTTTGATTTTTTTTTTCAATGCTGATATTGTATCTGCTTTTTCTGTACTTCTTATAGCAACATCTTTTTCCAGTAAAAAACTTAGAAAAGAGCATTTGAAGAACATATTGAACAAAAATACATCTTTCAAAGTTATAAGAAAGGGTCAAGTTGAAAATGAACTTGTTAGTGAGGACAGTGTATCCAATTTGTTTTTAAGTGTTTCAAGTCAAGTACCGGATAGAAGCAAGCATAAGAGGATATTGAATTTTGTCCATCTCAGGAAAAGTCCTTTTATTTAGTGCTAGAAACTTTAGCTATTTTTAGACCTTACAGTGAGTAGGCCAGATTTTCCATCAAAGACAGGCTGTTTTAATATACAACTGTATTTATTATACCTAAGCATACTCATTTGTACACATTTAATAATTGCACCTACATTAATTGATTCCTTATTTAGTACCATGCATGGTGCTTGATCAGTTTTTCAAACTTCAGTTATGACCAGCATTTTAAAAATGAAAATTGGAATAAAATTTAAAAAAGCAGAAAATACCAAAGTGCATTTTAGAAAGAAGTTGTATTTCTGAAAAGCAGTTTGCAGTTATAAAGAATACACATTCACATACATACATCCTGAATGTGTATGGACATTATGTTGCCAAATGTATTTCACTTTTGTGGGTTACGATAAAAAAAAAACCCAAATTCCTTTGCTAGCTTCTTCAGATCTATTTTTTTAAGTAATCAAAATATTATAAATATTTAGATATTATCACCCTGATCTTACATACATAGAAAGTTAGACACAGAGCATAAATGACTTATCAAATACTTTGGAAGTTACTAAGTGACCAGGTTGGGATTTGAACCCTTGATGACTAGGTACCAACCTATATTCATTCCTCTGTAAAACACTGGAGTAGAAGTTTCATTGACTACAGAGATGGTTTTTGCTTTTTCTGATTATTGTGGTTGATTTTTTTCTTTTACTTTCAATGTTGAAATAACTGCTAATTAGTAGACTCTTAGAGTAGCACTTTGGATTTCCCAGGACCATCTGACTGTAAATAAAAGAAATTTTAAATCTTGGTTAGAAAGATATACCACTTGTAGCTTTCTATTATTATGTTTTAGTGATTTGTAACTCAAGTGCTGCTTCCTCTATTAGCTATTTTTTCCCCCTATAGGTAGACAGTGATGAATTTAATATTTCCTTAATCAAGTCAAATGAAGAAAATAAAACCATAGAAGTTAAAGATTTGGAAATCTTCACAAGGTATTCCGTGGTGATCACTGCATTCACTGGAAACCTCAGTGCTGCATATGTGGAAGGAAAGTCAAGTGCTGAGATAATTGTTACTACTTTAGAATCAGGTGAGGTCTATTTTTCATCACTGCTAAAAACTGACTAAGTGTCTTTCTTAGAGTTTCTCACACTCTACCCTACAAAGCATATGTGGTACAAGAAAAATTTAAGCTCCATGACTCACTGGGACTGACAAAAGTGAAGCTTTCTATTTGTATTTTTGAGGCCGAATGGAATTATGTAGCATAGTCAATACTTGTAAATACAAAAATAAATTAGTTCATAATAAGGTATCCAAATGTATTTTTTTGTATGTTGATTATCAACACTAAATATTTTAGAAGTTGGACAACCTTACCTATGAAATGATTTTTCCAACTGTCTATAACCAATAAAGCTTCACCTTAAATTCCATTTTAATTATTTATGTCCCATGGTTTAAATGTACATTAAAGTAATAATACTCTATTATTGAGGGCTTCCAATACTCTATTATTGAGGGCTCAGTGATAAAGAATCTGTCTGCAGTGCAGGAGACCCAGGTTCGATTCATGGGTTGGGAAGATCCCATGGAGGAGGAAATGACAACCCACTTCAGTATTCTTGCCTGGAGAATCCCAAGGACAGAGGAGCCTGGCAGGCTACTGTCCATGGGGTTGCAAGAGTCAGACACCACTTAGCAACTAAACCACCATAAACCACCACCACTCTATTATTAAATTATCTGGGCTTTCCAGGTGCCGCTAGTGGTAAAGAGCATGCTTGCCAATGCAGGAGATGTGAGAGACATGGGTTCAATTTAATCTCTGGGTCGGGAAGATCCCCTAAAGGAGAGTCTGGCAACCCACTCCAGTATTCTTACCTGGAGAATCCTGTGGACAGAGGAGCCAATTAAACCCCCAGCTATATTTTCCATATCTGTTCTCTTCACTTAGTCAAGTGGCATGTTTTATTATATAATCTAATGACAAATGTCAGAATCCATACAGATTGCCTCAAGTTCGTATGGACAGGGTCTGAGTGGATAGTAAGATTGTAACCTGTGAGAAATTACCGTGGAAATTCAACTTCCCAGAACTCGCTTGCCCCATCCTCCTTCAGACTCCTGATGTTCTTTGCCAGCAGATATATCTCTGGAAAGAGCACATGAAGGGATGTGTTGCTATAGTTTATTTGTTGCTATCTGTAAGGTAAGTATAGGAGGTAAAAAAAAAAAAAAAAGTAGATATTCCTTTCACTATGCTGTATACTCTATTATCTATAAACTTACAGTTCTAAATTGAAAGGTACTTCTTATCCTCAGCACCCTAAAATTCTCCTTGTTTCCATTTAGTGGCCATGTTCAGGCACTTATTTTCTTACATTTTGCAATTCTCTCTTACCCTGCCCACCTGTGAGAAAAGTTGCTGCTAAACTTGTTCCTGTTCATACCATAAAACTCTGATAAAAAAATCTTAATGTGACACCTTTTCCAAGGATACTGTAGTTTAATAAATCTTTAGTAAACCTCTAAGAGTAGATTTTGGATATGAAAACAAATATATCTGGAGGATAGGAAGTTCTTTCTAACACTCAGGTAATTTTTTCACTTATTCAACTTTAAAGCTTATCCTAATTTTAGAGAAACATCTCTCATAAAAAGAAATATATATATTCCTATATATCATAAAAATGTATAATAGCAATTGTGAAAATGTGTGTTGAACCAATTTAACTTTTATATCAGCTATGCATTTCTTCACATTGTGATATTTGCACAATAACTTATTTATCTGCTTCTCTCTTTTTTCTGTTATTTATTTACTTATGTTTTGCTTGCCATAGGGAACTATCTCTAGATATCTCTGCAAGTGTATCTGAATATCTGAGCTATTCATAGTCAAATATGAACAGCCTTCTTCATGGAAATTCGTTACCTAGAATGGAAGAATATGTACATTTCAATGTGATTAAAATAAATATGTTCATTCAACCATTAAATTTATTTTAAAAAATACTAATTATATAGTTTGACAAGAATTAGTTCTTACTAAGAAACTAATTTTATCCTGTGTTATTTTTCATAATAATTTAGTGATATTTGGCTAGTTATATGTTAGGGCAACTTTTATTTATCAAAAATAAATAGGAATATCTAGAATATATAAAGATATATTAAAATTCAACACTTAAAAAGAATCCAGTTAGAAAATTGCAGAGGGGACTTCCCTGGCAGTTCAGTAGTTAGGACTCCAAGCTTCCACTGCAGGGTGCATGGGTTCAATCCCTGGTCAGGGAACTAAGACCTGACATGTCATATGGCCAAAAAGATAAGAAAAGACAACTGAAAAAGAACATGAACTGATATTTCACCACAGAGGAAATATGATTGGCAACTAAACTCAAGATATGTTTTCAACACTATTATCTGTTAAGAAAATGTAAATTAAAACCACAATGATACATCACTATGCATCTACTAAAACAGATAAAATAATTTTTAAAGTAGTAATAATACCAAATGCTGGAAAAGGGCCAAAGAGACTGGATCTCTCATGCATTGCTAGTGGGAATATAAAAGGGTATAACTATTGCTACAATGGAAAAATAGTTTGGTATTCTATAAAACTGAACATGCACTTACCATAGGTCCACAAATTACAATCTTAGGCAATTATCACAGACAATTGAAAACTTAATGTTCTTACAAATATCTTTATATGAATGTTAACAGGCTTATTAGGAATAACAACAAAATAACTGGAAACAACCCAAATGTTTTTATGGTTAAACAAATTCTAGTACAATGGAACACTACTCAGCAATAAAGACAATAAACTGTTGATATACACAGCAACTCTGGATCTCAGGGTCATTGTGCTGTTCTCTTTTGCAACTAATAAAAACTATGGAGATGGAGACTGACCAGTGTTGAGGAGTGATGGAGTGCAAATATAAGGGGAGAGCAAGAGGACTTTTCTTTATGGTGATGGAATAGTTTTGTATCTTGTTTCTGGTGATGGTTACAGGAATCTATACATGGAATTAAATTGCATAGAACCATACAAAAATATAAGAAAGCATGAAAAATGGTGAAAACTGAATAAGACCTATAGTCAAGTTAATATTATTGTGCCAGTTCTGTTTCCAGGTTTGATATTTAACTACAGTTATATAAGACGTCACCACTGGGGAAAGCTGGGCGAAGGTTACAGGGAACTGAATGTATGATTTTTGCAACTTCCTATGAGTCCACATTATTTTTAAGTTCAGAGTGTCACAGAAGTTCATTTTGTATAAGATAAATACATATAAAAGGCTAAATATATAAGCAAATAAATTGGATCACTGTTATGGTTTCTATGATCTATAAACATCAATGATTCTGTAATGAACCAGCCATTTTGCTTTGTGTAATACTCTTTATAAAGAGAAATTTGAGAAAAATTTGAAGCAAATCAGTTTTATATGGAGATAAAAATGAACACAAATTTTTAAATAATTTTAACTGCTAAATATTTTTAGTCCCTAAGGATCCACCTAACAACATGACATTTCAGAAGATACCAGATGAAGTTACAAAATTTCAGTTAACATTTCTTCCTCCTTCTCAACCAAATGGAAATATCCAAGTATATCAAGCTTTGGTTTATAGAGAAGATGATCCTACTGCTGTCCAGATTCACAATCTCAGTATTATCCAGAAAACTGACACATCTGTCATTGCAGTGTTAGAAGGACTAAAAGGTGGACATACATACAACATCAGTGTAAGTATACATAGTTTTTAATTATCTATTTTACAAAGTTGATTGAAAAACTCAGCATTCAAAAATACTGCGGGTTATGTAATACTCCATTTTTCTTATCTCTTTGTGGAATTGCTTAAGACATGCCAAGTGAAAAAGATTTAGGGAAACAGAATTGCTGATTTCCTATTTTAATACAGCAAGTCATGTGAAAATATGTAAATAACAGAAAATTTGCACAATTATAGTGGAAATCCAAAAATAAAGCATAAAGAAAATCCACATTAAAAGTTAAAAAGCAGTGATATATAGATAGTTCTGCCTAAAAGAAGACTGTTTCTGTGTGATTATAAATGGAAAATGGAAAAGCAAATAGCAAAGGCAAAGGGCAGAAATAACTATTTGTATGATTGAAATTCACATGTATTTCACACAACTATTACTAAAAGCATTTTATATCTTAATTCTAAATTATCCATTTCGGGAAGTAAATATATATGTGAGTTCATATACATACACATAAGACATAATACACATACAATTTGTCTCACCCTTTTGCTATTTTTATAGCATGTCTTGGAATTTTCAAAAAGAACTATATAGAAAATCATCTATTAAGAAAATATAGAATTCACCGTAAGCATTCAAGTAGTTCAAGTAACTAAACAGTCAAGTAACTAATCTTCCAACAAAGTCTTTATATCAGAAAACTGTCATTAATAATTTGTGTTATTTCCCTCACTCACTATATAATCTGACTTGCTAGGATTCTTGTTACACATACCATTAAATGGACCCCCATTAAAAGATCTGTTAGAGAGAAGGTGGTAGTTAAGAGAATGAACTGACCTAGATTCAAATTCTGGCCCTGCTAGTTTCTTTCAGGGCAGTTTCTGCAACTCTGTGCCTCTTTTTCCTTATCTGAAAAATTAGTAATCGGAATAGTAATTTCTATAAGGATATGAATAGTGATGGTAGGAAACAAGTGTTAGGACAGTTTTGGCTCTCGCAAATAAAAGAAAAATAGGAAATAAAGTACAACTAATTCATAATTTTTAAATTATTCATGGGTCTTCGTTGTGATGACTCATCACTGCAGGGCATGGGTCTCTCATTTTGCAGTGGCCCCTCTTGTTGCAGGGCACGGGCTCCAGGCGTGTGAGCTTCAGTAGCCGCAGCTCACAGCCTCTAGAGACAGGCTCAACAGCGGCGGCACATGGCTTAGGTGCCCTGTGGCCTGTAGAATCTTCTCAGTCCAGGCATCAAACCCATGTGCCCTGCACTGGCAGATGGCCTCTCACTCACTGTTGCACCAGGGGAAGTCCACTAATTCATAATTTAAAGAAAAATAAATCAATCTCTGGATTATTTGCAAGGTGCAATTTTCATTGTCCTCAACACCTGAGAAGTTACTAGAAATGTGTAACTTTCACATGGGTCCTAACCTACTGAATCAAAGCCTATAGATTTTCATTTAACAGGATTGTGAGTGACTTCTTTGCTCATTGCAAATTGAGAAGCACTGCCCAAGTTTATTATTCTACTTAAAGATTAGGTTGTAAAGAAATATAAATAATTAAACACATTGTAGCATCACTTTTCATTTTAAGTGCTTTCTTTTTAACGTTTACATACACCAGTAAATATTTCCTTTAGATATTTTTTAAGCTACATTTATATACCTGCCACATCATACATGTTATTTTAATTCAATCAAAATACTTCTAAACTGTGCATAGGCTGGAGGGTGGACCACTAATGTATGAAACAAATTTATTAATTCCAATAAAGATACGTTCTGAATTGTCTTTATTGAATATAATGAAATTGGCAATAACATAGTCATTATTTCATTAATATATAGTGAGATACAGTGAATTAAAGAAGAGCCTGTGTCTGCAGCTTCCTAAGCACAAAGTTGATTGAAAGGATTCACATTTGTGTAAATCACCCTCTGTAGATACAAACAGAAATGCTTTATGTGTATATGCTGCATTATGCAGGTTACAGCGTCAGATAGTTAGGGGCAGGGGTGAAGCAGGGCAGAGAGGCCAACTTTCAGAGGGATGATTTAATACAGGAAAACTGGGAGGCTGGGGGAATAGGGTTTCATCTCAGAAGGAAAAAAAAAAGTCTTGAATATGGATTTAAAGAAAGCTGGAGTTACCTAGCTGCAGAGAAAAGGAACAGATGTCAGAGCAGATGAAGAGAGAGTAGATGAAGAGTGTAGACATAGCGACTCTTCTGCTCTTTCCTCCTACGGGTTCAGATAGAAGCCACATCTTTCTTAGTCTCTGGGATAGGGCTGTTTAGGTCGCTGAGCCTTTGTTCTCAGGGCTTAGTACCATAATATCAGTTTATTGCTAGTTAATCAGTTTATTTAAGAACTAGTTTATTGCTAACATTCTTCCTCCATATATTATATAAATTTGAGTGCAAGAAAATTATAATAGACTATATGAATTGTTTTTAAAAATAGAATAATTTTTAAATGACATATAATCATAATTGCTTATACATACACCTGTGCAATAATTTGAAAACAATAACAAGATGTTTCTTTGTTTTAGGTTTATGCGATCAATAGTGCTGGTGCAGGGCCAAAGGTTCAAATGAGAATAACCATGGATATTAAAGGTACATGTGCTGCCTTCCCATGAAATGCTATTGTCTTAAAAAGTAATTATGATTTATATTCTGTATTAGAGTTATGGATGCAGTTAAGCTTTTAAATGATGCATATACATACAGTAAGCATACATTAAGTAATAAGTAGTAATATATGCTTATTAAAGCTATAATTAAAATACCTAAGTCATGAGGCAAATTACCATGTTAATTACAGAGAATGTCTGCTATATTTCTTTTCTGCTAAATTGAAATTTTGCTGAGACAAACTTTATAATTGTATTTTATGTTTTTCAAATTTTATTGAAAAGAAAACTCCTTCTTTAAATTACCCATGACTAGACTTTGACTAGTTCTAAGTAGATTCTCGGATTGATCTTTTTTTGAAAGTCAGGTTCTTTTAAGTTAATAAAATGGTGTTTACTGAACTACCATATAATCAACCTTATGATTCTGGCTATAAAGTAGATCTATCAATTCATCATTGACAGGGATTTTTTTCATAGAAAATATATAAAAATTTAGAGACTCCCTCCCTCACCAAATTCCACAAAACCCACAGAAGATCATTAAGAGGATTTTAGGGCCATTCAGTTATTCAGGGTGCCTTCTCAAGAATGAAAACGTGCACAGTTTTGTCACTTCTCTAAAAACCTGTGTCAAACCTGCAGAGATTTTTTTAAAAATATATTGTGCTTTGGTGGAATTCCACCTGATCCTCCTCTTTCTGAAATGAAAACCATCTTCTCTCAATCTTTGATAGCTACAGCACAGTGATTGAAAATGCCATCTTTAGGCTGGTCGAGGGTCAAGTCACTGAGGTTGAATCCTGGGTTGGCCGCTTGCTACCTTGTTTGGCTTCAGACAAGTTTCTTAACACCTCTAAGCCTGTGTAATAGAGTTAATACTAGTTCCTACCTCATGTTGTGAGGATTAAGAGAGAATCTGAAAAACCCACAGTGTCTAGAAATTTGCTTTGTTAAGAATAAGAAATATTCAGTGTAAGATGAAGCTGATAAATTTTTTCACCATTGGGTGGTTTATATAGCTGTAATACTATTTCTTTGTTATTCAGTGGCAGACTTACTCATATATTCAGTATGTAAAAATATATGCATTATATTTATTTAGTAAAGCTTCCCATTTCAGATACGTTGCTCATCCTCCAGTAAAGATGGTTAGTTCTGACTTCCCACACCGTACATAGAGCAGGTAGACTTATGACCAGTTATCTAGAGAAGATGGATAGTACTGGTGGCAGTGATGGGGTCTAAAAAATTGAATTTTTCTCCAGTAATATGCATAATTTTATTAATGACATGGAGTAACACTGGATTAACAATTATCATATCAATTTGGACAGTACTGTCCAATGGCAGATTCCTGTAACTGGAAACCTTGTCTTGGGGGCTCCCCAGTGGCCTCCCTTGAATCTGGAGGCTGTTCCTGCCACATCCTTTCTTCCTTCCTTCTCATTTACACATGTCAGAACTGTGATCTTGCCACCTACTATTGCTCCCTGCTTCCCTATTCTTCACAAATATTTCCCCCAGTAAACTTCCTGCATGTCTAATATCATCATAACCCTGACATCTCAGAGGAGTGAGCTAAAGGATCGAGTCAAAAAGATTTGGTTCACGTCTTGATATTTCCCCTTCACAGTATTGTGGCATAAGGCTGTTTTCCTCATTTATAAAATGGAAATGATAGAGCCAATTTTATGGAGTGGTTAAGAGGCTTTTAGAAAAGATTTTATAAATATGAGAATTGAAGTTTGATTAAGCAACTTACTGATGTTCAAATAGCTAGTGTGTGGAGCTCTAAGATGAAAGCAGAACTTCTACAAATATTAGTTTTGAAGATACTTGTATGCATTGATGCTAAAATGTGAATTATGACACTTTTAGAAATTATTCTGGAAATATGTGTTAAAGTTAAAAGTACATGTATCCTTTGCTCCAAAAATTCTGCCCTTGGGAATATATTCTATAGAAATAAAAGAATCAGTGAGTAAGGCTACAGATATAAGGCTGCTTCGTGAAGCAAATGGTCAAAGACAGAAGTAAAAGTGAATTCCCATCACTCGGTGAATAATTGAATAAATGTAATGCAGTTGTACCATGACATATAATATAGTTATTAAGGAGAATGAATTAACCCAGAACTTGGTGACTTGAAAAGATTTACACAGTCATTGTAATAAAAAGCAATATGTGGTGTAATTATAATACTTAACAGAGCTCCATTAAAACATATCAGTGAGAGAAATCCCTTATGTATGACTTTATGTATTTTTATATGATTATGTGAAGATAAAGAAAAATATGAGAGGATATCATCTAGTTGTTTGGTATGGATAATTGTGGGGTTGGAGGGCAGGGCTCCTGGTATGACTAGAACAGAAATTAGTGAATCAGCTAAAGGAATTTAAGAGAAAAAAAACACTAAAATATTAGTATGATTTAACACATTTGTGAAAATTGTATATATATATTATGTATATATCATTTGAATTTCTTTAATATGTGAAGGGGAATCAGATGTCTGAAAAATCACACCTGGGCTCCATTATCTCAGGCAAGTCTCAAACATATAATCATATCATTAGGAGGTAATAATTTCCAAATATCTGCAGTATCCAAACAAAAATGTTTCATGTTATTTATGTTTGTCATCACTTTATCTGTAAATTACCTGCATGAAAGGAGAATTTAAAATGATTTTCTCTTTTCTGTAAGAACAAAAAATCAACAGGTAGTGATATTTCTTCTTCATGTTTATAGCTCCAGCACGACCAAAAACCAAACCAACCCCTATTTATGATGCCACAGGAAAACTTCTTGTGACTTCAACAACAATTACAATCAGAATGCCCATATGTTACTACAATGATGATCATGGACCGATCAAAAATATACAAGTGCTTGTAGCAGAAGCAGGAGGTATCATCACATGCCAGGTTACCTTGTTAAATTGTGGAGTGTGGACTGCTGAATGCTGAAGACATTGCAATTCAAAATTAGTAATATAAGGTTGCCTCTTGATTATTACACATCTTTTGAGCTTAGTAGATTGTCAGTATTGTCATTAATTTTACTGATCATTAATTTATACCTAAATAGTTTATCAAAATTAAAAGAGATGTGGTTAAAATATTTATTCTATATGCTGGTAGGATTTTGGCAGGATGCAGTCTTGATAGCTTCTTTGAAGGTGGGAAAGAGTTACTCTTGGCTGAAGAATGCTTTTTCTCTGAGACGTCCTTCTCCACAACAGTGTCTATGGATTCATGTGTGATGGGATGGATAGGGTGACCTGCTTATCCAGGTAGATGAGTTGAATCATCCCTGGCGGTTCAGAAAGTGAAAGATGTTGCATCCAGATTTTCCTCATGCAATTATAGAAATGCCTTTTATAAATGTGAAAATACATTTGGGTATGACTTGTAATAATTATTCTTTTTTCTGAAAATAGCTCAGCATGATGGAAATGTAACAAAGTGGTATGATGCATATTTTAATAAACCAAGGCCATATTTTACAAATGAAGGCTTTCCTAACCCCCCATGTACAGAGGGAAAGGCAAAGTTTAGTGGCAACGAAGAAATTTACATCATAGGTGCTGATAATGCATGTATGATTCCTGGTAATGAAGACAAAATCTGCAATGGACCTCTGAAACCAAAAAAGCAATACTTGTAAGTATAGTTAATGCTTACTATGCATCATGATAGCAAGCTAGTAGACATTTTTAACCCATCCATCTACCCCTCCTTTCATTTTTTCCAGTAAGTACTGGATATCCATAATATATTGTGACCTGGTGCATGATAAAGATCAACAAGGCATTGTCCTTTCATTCAGTAAAAGTACAGTTCTAGGGAAAGTAGGCAAACTTAAAAGTAATTATGGTTTGAAATAAGTAACTAAGGGCAATATGAATATTGTGCAAACTGGAGAACTCAGGTAGGAGAATTTTATTCTTTTCATAAAGGGCTGTGTGACTAATGTGTGATGTTTTGTCTTTCTCAACTCATTATTATGCCATGCATGCTGATGTATATACGGTTTTAGAAACACTATCCTTGTCTTCCAGTTAACTGTGGCTTCACTTTACGTCAGTCATAACAATCATTTTCAGCTCTTCATATTATCAAACATCTAAATGATGTATTAAAATATTTACATTTCACTTTAATATTTGGTACTGTGTAGATTATAATAGCCTAATATAAAAACAGATGTCAATATTTTAGCTCTATTAAATGCTTTGCTAAATTTGGCTTATTTTTTTCCTACTAAGTTGACTATTGTGATTATAATTTTTAAAAGTTTAACTTCCAGAATATAATTTTTAATATTAAATTTGAAAAATACAGCTAGTTTCACTTTTGCCTACTAGTTAAAGCACTGTTAAATTCTTCATAAACATCCTAAGGCAACTTAACATTAGAAAGAGAAGTTAGAGCATTTTTTTTCCAAATGCCTATCATCTGTTATTAAGAACACTTACTTGGGTTACTAAGTTATGCCCTGAAATTAATCATCATACAATAATAGTTACAGATATGATATACTACAAAGTTTTTAATCTAAGAATTATTGACTTTGCATAATTTTACCAAAACATTTCATATAAACAATAAAATCATAAGAATTTGAGAACAGCAGAGATTATTAATGTAGATTGATTTTATATTTTAAAATTCTTGTATGTTCATAGTTTTAAAATAAGGTAAATTTTGGTTGTCTCTGTGGTGATGGCGATTTGTGGTGTCTCTGTGTGTGATCCAGTGATTTTTAAGGTTGATTTTCTTCTGCACCCATTTTCTATGTTGTATGTCATGGAAGCATATAAAGTGAAAATATAGTTATGCACACAGAATTAATAAGCATTATTCTTTGTTTACATGTGAGCAAGGTAAGTTTTATATGATCATTCTAAATCTGTCTCACTGGTATTTTCAAAGATGTTTGAAGTGTAATAGTTTAAGGTGTGCTTGTGCTGACATTAAGTCATTTCATCCAAATAAATCTATGAGAGAGATGATCTACTTAATCTGATTAACTGCTGGCTAGTCATGAATCTGATCAAATTTTTAGCCACACTGTGATGAAGTTGAAAAGGTCTGTGTCCAAGATAATTATTCATCTCACATAAAGATACTATTTGTTCTGATGGTGGCAGATTTCTAAGTTTATACTTTGTAAATTCATGGTCTCTGAACAAAAATGTATTTTTCCACAGATATTTGTTTAAATTATACATAGAAAAAAAAGTCATATATAAATTGTTTTTCTTCTTCCACAGATTTAAATTTAGAGCCACAAATGTCATGGGACAATTTACTGACTCTGATTACTCTGATCCTGTTAAGACTTTAAGTAAGACATTTTTCTAGTTTAATTTCATTTATAATCTCAACACGCTAATCATAGCTATAATGTTCCTTAGTAAATGTATTCCATGACTGAATGTTCTCAAGTATAAAGTCATTTCAAGGTTAATTATCTTGACTAAGGAAAAAGTAGTATTTATAATACTCTTTTAAGTGATGGATGCTCCATCTATTCAAATTTGGACATAGATTTCAATATGGTGTTCAGTCTAGGCTGATGTGTATGGACATTACACTAAGAAAATATTTGGTTTTTTAATATGTAATTGTCTATGTAAAAGATTTTTACTTTGTAAAAATGAAAAAGGATTAAGGAAAATTTTCTGAAATAATCCTAAAAGTTAGAAGCTTATGTCTTTTTAAGTTTTCTTTCTGATCAGTGCTTTCATGAGTTTTTCAATTATATCCATCCAGTCAGGCCTGGATAGAACATAAGTACCATTCATTCAGATGCAAGTGTACTTCTTCCTTTTCTCTTTCTCCCCCTTTCTCTCTCCTGGCTGATCCCCTTCCCACTTCTCCTCTTTCCCTCCTCCGCCTCCTTCACCATCAACATATCTAACTTTAAATATTCTGTGCCAGACATACTCTGAGGTCCTTCGTATGTATTAACTGATGGATTCTTCACAACTATCCTTTAATTTAGGTCAGTGGTTCTCAATGGAGTGATTTTACTGTTTGGGGATTTGGCAGTGTCTGGAGCCATTTCCGGTTGGGTTGTTGTTAAGTGTGGGAGCTGAGCTAGTGGCATCTAGGGGGCAGAGGGGTCAGAGATGCTGCTGCCTATCCTCCAGGGCAGAGGCCGGCCCCTCCAGCAAGGAATCATCTAACCCCTAACCAGTGTGCTGAGGTTCAGAAACCCTGTTAGGTTGCTGATGTTAGTTCCATTTTGAAGATGAGGAAACCGTGGCCCAGATTCAGTAATTAAGTGGCTCTGCCAGCACAAATTTTATAACCATTAAACTGCAAATGCAGGATTTAGATCTGGATTCAAATCTTGACTCTACCACTTGGGAAAATAATTTCTATTACCTTCAGTTTCCTTATTTGGAAAATGGTGATATTATCTGCCTTGAAAGATTAATGTAAAACAATATGGGTAAATATATTAACCTTTTATAGTTAATAAAAATGCCGAATGCTTAATAGCTTCTCTTTGATAGGTTATAATGAAAGATTTTAAAACTACACTTCCTTGGGAGCAATTCTTTCCCTAGGATTTCTCTGAGTAATTTGCAACTTTCTATCTCCTGTGTATCAGTCTCTGAGCCTGTGCAACTCCGTGTGTTGTTCAGATCCACATTATATATCATCAATGCAGTAGATTTCAGTGAGAGTTATGGTTGAGAGAAGATAGAAAATGTTCCACCATTTTCAGTTAGAAACTGTCATCTGGTTCTGGACCATTAACTGTATAAAAAGCCAGTTTCTGCAGCCTGCACTTAGTTAAGGAAACTTTGGATCTTGAAGAAATGAAGAAATGTAGTGCACCATTTGCTACATTAATGTTTATAAAAGAATGACAGATTTCATTGGCTATGCTGTCTGCTTAATTCCATAAACATCACTGGTTTATTTTTACATAATAATTCAATAATTAATTGATTCAATAATTAATTATAAATAAATTATAAATTATAAAAATATAAAATAAATAAAAAATTAATAAATAATTCAATAACTTTTGTCAAGGGTTTATGCATTTGGAGGCTGTGCTTATCACACCTGACACTGCCACAGTAAATGTTTTAGCGGCATCAGCATAATATCCTTTAGGGTATAGAATTCAGAAACCACATATTACCACAGCTAAATGCTGACCCCAGTATATTAACTGGTGGAAGATAAGAAACATAGTACAAATGGATTGGCTCATATGTCTTAGAGAAATGACATTTTGTAGATGCAGTGCTAAAAAGAGATTACTTTGTTGTATTATTTGCTGTGTATTATTCATCTCACAGCTTCTTGGGTTTATATAGATTATTGATATGAGGACAACATATTAAACTGGTTATCTGGGATGTAGAGTTGACACATCTGGGTTAATAGGAATGAAAGAAGAGGGCAAGTCAAGCATTAGGAACCACAGTGACAAGGAAGTGACTCCTCAGATACTGCAAAATAGCATCCTTGTGGCCACGGATGGGCCCCATTCAGCGCTGGCCACCGGTAGTCTCAAGCTGTTTCTCAGCGATGGTCTCTTCTTTTTCTTCCTGTCGCTGACAGCCGAGGCAGTGGCATACAATAAGTAATTCTAGAAGGTAGGAGAAATACGCTTGTGAGTCCTCTGACTTCTCTCCTGGAATCACCACCACCCCCCGTCACCCAGGTGCTGACGTGTGTGCCCTGGTAACAACAGGAGTGTCCGAGGATGGAAGACGCAGAGGGCAGGGCAGAGCACCAGGTCTTACCAAGGCTGGAGCAGGAGGGGCTGGGAGCCAGCTTGGACTCTGCAGGTGGAAGGCCACTGGGCTGGTAAGGGGTAGTGACAGGGAGGGTCGTATGTATGTACGATCAGTTTTTCAGGGCTCATATGTTATTTGTTGGAGAAGGAAATGCCAACCCACTCTGGTGTTCTTGCCTGAGAAATCTCACGGACAGAAAGCCTGGCAGACTACAGTCCACAGGGTCAGAGAGAGTCGGACGCGACTGAGCATGCATAGACCAGTGACCTAAGGACAGCCTTTCAGGTTCCTCCTTAGAGTGGCCTTCAGCGGGCTCTCTCCTGGCAGATAGCAGCTCGATAATAGGCTTCTGTTCTGTAACGCTCACTGTGACTGACCGCATGGAATTCTGCCACCTAGATAGTTATCTGTAGCTCGAAAAACAGTACTGGGCAGGAGTAGATGGAGTTTAAAGGCGTGCAACCCTCATTTATGGCTAAATGAAATGTTCAGATTTGTAATGTGTCATGTACCACTGGAGCAGAATTCTTTGATGTAGAACAAGTAGCTCAGTCATTCTGCTGGTGAACAGATGTAACACCATCAATTTCTGGCCTTACTTTTTTTTTTTTTTTTTTAACCTAGCTATTGGATATTGTGGTTCTGTGTCTGCCAGGTTCACTCTGATGAGTCAGGCACTAAAGTGCTCCCTCCAGAAAAGGTGCTGGTCTACAGTTGATATTCACATAAAAGGCCATGAAGTCATAGTTTTTGGAAAAAGAATATTGCTGAGGAGGATATAGTAGAAGGACTCAAAAAAGAAATAAAGTTGACCATTTCTATAGTGGGCAGTGGTCAATGGCCAGAATGATTTCACGGCTGTGAGAGTGGGGGCCAGCAAATAGCAAATGCATTGGTATAATATCCCTGGGGTCATAAGAGTACAAAGGATGTACTTTGAGTCCTCTCTCTCTCGAATATGTCATGGATTAGGATACAGGACTAGTGGCTCCCAGCATTTCTAACAAGCCTGCCCAATACTTAGGTGTATCTCACACTTTAGCCAAAGTCTAGGTCCCATCTAAGTCGTCAAACCACCACTGGATGTACAGTCATTCACTGGTATTTTGCACACCACAGGCAAGGAGCTTCAAGTTGCGTTACCTGTCAGTACAGTCTTCAGGATTTAAGCACCTTTTGAAGGATGTGTTTTGAAGTTAGTATAAGACAGGCACTTACAAGACAGACCAGTTTGATAGTGGTTGTGACTGTAGAGATATTATTATTGGGATGTTAAATTAGGGGCAGAGAATCACTGATGAACTAAAAGGCTTAAGATTAGTGAAAAAGCTAGCAGCAGGACAAGCGAGAAGGGGCCAGACAGGGCTTTGCTAAATAAAGATGAATAAGGTGGAAGAGGAATCACATCTGGGGAAATCTTGATGACCTGTAGGAATAATGCAAAATGACACATGCCATTATTTTAATCCTAAAGATATACTTACAACTTTTTAAATTTTATTTGCATTCAGGACTAAGCCTTAGAATTTTTATTAACCAAATTCACAAGAATTCATCTTAAATTCATTTTTAAAAACTCCTCCTTAAGTATGTATGTTTATGGAAACTGCTTGCAGGCAATGTTTTGATTACAAGGTTTCATTATAGAGGATTCCTGTGATTTGAACTCCAGACGTTCCTTTGTGCACCTCACAGGGCTTCACTAAAGCTCAACGAGAGGAAACAAACTCCACGGCAAAGGCACTCTGTGATTTTTTTTTTTGTCATAACACTCCTTATTTAATTACTGTGCTAACAATGAAAAGTTCCAGTATTCTCACTTGGGAAGAAAAATAGGGAGTCACTATATATTTGTGGCAAAAGGAACAGGGGGAAGTTTTATGATGTTCACAGGCAGTAGTAATGTGATAGTGAAGCTCGTAAACTCTGCAGGCAGACAAGCAAGTTTCAGGCCATTTTGGCATATATGGAGTTTGTGACTTTGAATTAGTCACTTAACAAATTAACCTCTGCAGTCTCATTTCCAAAAGCAGAACACCACCCAGTTCATAAACTAGCTGGGCTCCCCTGGTGGCTCAGACAGGAAAGAATTTGCCTGCAATGCAGGAAACTCAGGTTCAATTCCTGGAGAAGGAAATGGAAACCCACTCCAGTATTCTTGCCTGGAGAATCCCATGGACGGAGGAGCCTGGTGGGCTACAGTCCATGGGGTAGCACAGAGTCAGACACAACTGAGAGACCTACACTTTCACATCATACTTTCATAAACTTAACTGGGAGATTAAATCATATCATATTTAATGATAAATCATTAAATCAGTGATCATTTATGATCATAAATCACAATTACATATAATTAATGTAATTAGTCATGTACATTAAATCAATGTACAGATTAATGAAGAAAGGTTATTAATTAATATATGAAACATTGTTTACTTATGTGCCAAACCCTTCATGAGTGTTTTTCTATATAGCCTCATGTATTTTTTCACTACAACCCTATAATGTGATTTCCTATTTATGGGTATCCCTAATGTCAGTCAGTTCAGTCGCTCAGTTGTGTCCGACTCTTTGT